GGGTTTTAAAAAGGGCTATTGACTGTTATCTCAGATCCTGCGGCAGGCAGCATATTTAAGCCAAATGAGAATTTTAGTGTGACTGACAAGATAACCGCTTCGATTTGTTATGGATCAGGCTATATCGTGAAACATCAAAGAAAAGTGCTAGTCCTTGGATCCGGCGGTCTAACGATTGGTCAGGCTGGAGAATTTGACTACTCGGGAGCACAGGTACTGCATTTTAGAATCGATTGATACCTGATGTGGCTTTAGAAAGTTATCTTTGAACTTTTTAGGCTCTGAAAGCACTCAAGGAGGAAGGCTTGAAAACGGTGCTTATCAATCCGAATGTTGCTACCGTGCAGACTTCTAAAGGCTTCGCAGATTTTACTTACTTTTTGCCGATTACTAAAGAATATGTGATTGATGTGAGTGTTCGCAAGATCCTTATTTTATATGTACTCATATGACTTGCTGTCAGGTGATTAAAAAAGAACGACCTACGGGGATTTTGTGCACATTTGGAGGACAAACAGCTCTAAACTGTGCCATCGATCTCTATAAGGATGGAATCTTCGAGCAATACAATGTCCAGGTACCTTGAACTTCACCATGAATCCAGGGCTACACGTTCAAACTTTCTTTGGCGTCATCGTAACCTTCTCAGGTACTCGGTACCCCAATCCAAACGATCATGAATACGGAAGATCGTGAAAAGTTCATTGAAGAAGTAACAAGTATCGGGGAAGAAGTAGCCCCCAGCCGAGCTGCCACTACTCTCCAAGGAGCAATCGATGCAGCTGAACTGGTAAGGAGCAGGATTGATGGTTGATAGAAGCGCTTATTGTCAATTTATAGCTTGGCTATCCAGTGCTGGTAAGGGCTGCTTACGCGCTAGGTGGACTTGGCTCAGGGTTTGCTGACAATCGCGCGGAACTTGTAACGATTGCGCAACAAGCGCTGGCACATTCGGACCAAGTTCTGATTGATAAGAGTCTGAAGGGGTGGAAAGAGGTGGGTATTAAACTTCATGGTATCTTCTTTTTATAGGATTCTTCTTTTCAGATGGAATATGAAGTTGTTCGTGATGCTTACGACAACTGTGTTACAGTATGTAACATGGAAAATGTGGATCCTCTAGGCATACACACCGGAGAATCTGTTGTGGTAGGGTTTTGGTGCTTTCCAAATTTTTATAGAAATTTTTTGGGTCATTTATTTTTCTTTGAAAATTTTCTAAATTTTCATTGGTTTTTAATTGCTGTGTAGAATCATTGATTCTAGGTGGCTCCATCCCAAACTCTTTCTGACAAAGAGTACAATATGTTGAGAACATGCGCCATCAAAGTGATTCGTCACCTTGGAATTATTGGAGAATGCAATATACAGTACGCCCTTGACCCGTTCTCCCATACGGTAAGGTTACTGTAGTTGTCGATTTGAACATCCGCATACTAATCAATGATTGGGTTCAGTACTACATCATCGAAGTAAACGCGAGATT